GTGGGAGTCTAAGGCAGGAGTCAAGCAGCAAGGATAGAGAACGGGAATCTGGGAGAGAGATCTGGTCTGGAAAAGCTCCCTCAAGTAAACAGTCCTTAATCATAAAGTGATGGGATTACTTCCAAAACATAGGTTTAGCAGGAGCAGGCCCTATGCATTTGAAAAAAAATACACCTTTCATTTTAATTTTTTCCCAGTTAGTGAAGTAGTAATTGCCAGATGGATCAGGCCAGTGGTCTATCTAGTCTGATCCAGTATCCTGCCTGGCAGGACCAGCTGCTTCAGAGGAAGGTACAATAAGTCTGAACTAAGCAATTACAGACTAACCTGCCCATAAAGGGAGATTCTTCCTAACACCTGTAATTTACAAATTGGCTCATGCCTTGATACAGGAGGATTTACATCCCTTCCAAAAAATGTTTTAAATGACAACTTTAACATAAATATGGCCAATCTTTATTAAATACTAGTAAGCTCTTGATGGGTGAAAGTTGTCTTACAGTTTAAATTATTTAAAATGTGTCAGCTGGAGCATGGAAGTCTTGCCACTGACTTGAATGGACTCTGTATGAGGTCCCTGATAGCTTATTTTAGGTGAGGCCTAACAATAGGCAATAGGTTCTAATACATTAGTAGTAGTTTTATCAACAAAGTCAACCAGAGGCTTAAGCGATGGGTGCATGCTTTTATAAATACAAAAACTAAAGATATCAGGTGCAGATGAATAAAGTCAATCTAATTGTCAGGGATGCAGCAACCATACTAGGGTTATTATACTGAAAACAACTATTTCCCATCTTGCTAAAATATAAGATTTAAAACAATAATAAAATGTTTCAGAAGGAAAAAGTCTATTACTTTCATTCCTTTGGCAAAGAAAATTAAAAAGCTAGATTTTTGGAGGTTTCCTTTGTCTATTCTATTCCAGGTGCTTATACACCCCCCTGAGCCCACCATATAGGGAAGTAACATGTCCTAGTATTCAGTCTGAGACAAAGTAAAAAAACAACCTAATATTTACAGCACTGTGGGGCCCAGTTCTGAAAAGTGATGAGAGCGCTCTTGTCCCATCGGCTTCAACAGTAGCAGTGAGTCTTCAGCAGCTTCCTAGGATGATGCCCCAAAAGAGCAAACATAATACTAAAACATTTCACAGTATATGTATACAAGGATGGATAGTACCAAAGAAGTGAAAGACGATATCCAACATCATGATGCCCAGATGCTATGGTAATGGGGACCTTATAAGTCCCTCAATAGATAAACACTGGGGGAAGGGGAAGTGGAGATAAGATTGCAAGTGGCGATTGCAAGCTGTATTCAGAGGTTCTTTTGCCAAATTCATCTTGCTTGCCTAGACTGGCCCCACTGATATAAGATGAGCTCACACTCTTTAGTACCAGCCTAAAAACAAGGGTGCTGCATGCATAACTACGTTTTGTTAGTGTGTGTAACCACACAGACACAGACCAATTCTCCTTGCAATAGTTACCACCTGCAGGTATTTAACAACTGCAATGTCTGTGGGATTTTGTTCTCCAAGAGTTCCCCAGAAGCAAATATCAAAGGAACACCACCAATTAACTCAAGTTTCTCATAAGTTCAAAACAAAGTATAGCCCTTCTGTGCGAAGGACTGAATGGTGCTGGTCAATCCAATCACTTGGACATTATTGCAACAAGTTTGCATGCGGGATCTACAGTCTAGATCAGCAGTCTCCAAAGTGGGGTGCGTGCACCCTAGGGAGTGCGCAAGAGGATCCTTGGGGGTGCGCGGTAATTCGGGCGGGAGTCTGAGCGGCTTTTTTTTTTTGCTTCAGCAAAAATGGTAGAGCCGGTGCGGCGGGGATGCGTGCTCAAAAATTTTTTACTGATAGGGGTGCGCGATCAAAAAGTTTGGAGACCACTGGTCTAGATTCTCACACTACCAATTGGCAAAGATGGGCAAAGTTACAGGGCTGACTCATTGTAGTGTGTGGAGAGGAGATAGTAATGCATGCCTCACCTTCTCATGACCCATCTACCCCAGCTCACCTTGAAAGACATCCTCCCCCATTCACACAGGAGTATTCTGGACAAAGAGCCAAGATTCCACATTTACTGGACAAGTAATCATCGCCACCCAGCGCTAACAAATCCCTGGGCATGTGCTTCTTACATGTCTGGATACTGCGTGAGAACATTATACAGCCTAGACCAAAACCTCAACTACACAGAAAAGAAAAAACAAACAGTAATGCTGTCTAGAGATGACAGCGAGGAGAGTCTGGACTCCTTGGTTCTATTCCCAGCTCTGCCATTGACCTGCTGCGTGACCTATGCCAAGACAATTAACCTGTCTGTTTCCTCATTTGTAAAAATGGGAATAATACCTACCCCAAAAGGGGTGCTGTGAGGCTTGTGTGTCTGTAAAGTGGTTTGATATGAAACAGACTAAAGACATGTGAAGCATTCATGTACAGAACACAAAGTATTTTATAGAAAAATAAGTATGCCAACTATGAATACTTGGCTGATATCACTAATTAGAACACAGTCAATGCAGTAATGCAACAAGTGAGTCAGATGAAGGCTACTGTACTTTGGCAGGCACTATAGTTCAAGGAAGTTCAGCAGCTATTAAGGAATAATGTATGTTATTTTAAATAAATGTAAAAACATCCATCTTGAAGGAGCCCGAAGTGTTTTATAAATTATATACACAACTCCTGTCTGTGCAATTCAGCCACATGGGGGATGGAGGGTGTCAGAAATCCTACAGACAGCACCCTGTACAACTGCATAGGGGCTAAGAGAAAGAATTTTGAACAAGCACACCAGGGCAATTTCCTACTCTTACTAAAAGCATCATGCAAATGTAATGCCATGCAGAACAGGCATCTCCCTTGGAAAGATGAATCAATGAGTTTCTACGATTCAAACCTGCAGCCACCCTTCCATGGACAAATCTTGGCCGTTTGAAGAGAGGTTCTCATTTTAGTGCAGGTGATCGTAAAGCAGTTATTTATAAGCTCTCCCTGCTAGGAAGCATTTTATAGTGAGTTTTAATGAGATATTTAAAGCCTACAAGATGTTTTTTAAATCTCCTCTGATGCTTGTATATATTATCGCTTCCCTCCAGCCCTCTCTGGTCTATTTCGATTATAAACTCGTCAGGGCAGGGGGCTCTCTCATTCTATATTTGTACAATGCCCAACATAGTGCTCTGATCACTGTTGGGTCCATTGATGCTATAATAAATAATACGAAATTAAATTTCCTCAGCTGGAAGAAAGCCTCTGCAGGGAGTTTATTTCAATAACACAATGGACGCAACATGCAGCCTCAGAACTAGAAAGATCAAATCCTTTAAAAGAATGGAAATTCAATGCAGTTAAACAGTGGAAATGAACTGCAAGATGATGCAAAACAAGAAAGGGCTGCATGAGTGTAGGAGAGCTAAACTGGGGGAAAATAGCAACTGAGACACAGTGCAGACCCTCTTCCCCATTAGGGTTTACTGGAACACCAGGGCAAGCTGGATAAGGGAGTATCTATACTTTGAGCCAATCCCTAATAGCTTTGTCCACAGCTGAGAATTGCACCACTGCAACATGCAATAATGTAAATGAAGCAATGCAAGTTGCCAAAGTGCACCATACATGCTAGCTATCCTCTTTCAGGTCCACTGTGTCCCTGCAGCACTTCCTGCACTCCTGCAGTTACACTGCATTGATACCCATTCCAGAGTTCCAAGCGCAGCTTCCCATCCAGCTTTCTGTCAAAAGAGAAATATCACTTCTCTTCCAAGTCCTGGAGAACAGAGCCTTGATTAGAGAGTTCAGTGAAGACACTACAGGCCTGTGCTAGGAAGACTAATTGCACCAGGGCAGCTGAAATGGCAGTGCTTTCAGTCTGTTGCAACAGAGCAGAAGAACCCAGGCGAGCTGCAACTGCAGAGGCTTTGCTCAAAACAAGTGCAGCTGAAACGGTGCTGGAAAAATTGTGCAGCATTGGAAGAAAGCTCATGTGTGGATGCAAAATGTGGTACAAGTATTGAAGGTGCTTGCAAAGGTAAAGTTCTCTAGTGTAATCATGTGTCACGAAACACCACTGCAGTAGTGCCAAACCTAAGCATTGAAAAATAATTTGTAAGGCTCACACACACACACAAAAGAGACAGACTTTTAAAAATAACAATATATATTGAGGGTTCTCTCTCATTTTCATTTTTCTGGTTTTTGAAACTTTATGGTATACCTGAGTAACATTTTTCAACCATACCAGCAAAAAAATTTACTCTTTTAACTAAAGCAGGGGTTCTCAAACTGGGGGCTGGGACCCCTCAGGGGCTTGCAAGGTTATTACATGGGAGGTCATGAGCTGTCAACCTCCAGCCCAAACCCTGCTTTGCATCCAGCATTTATAATGGTGTTAAATATACAAAAACATGTTTTTAATTTATAAGGGGGGGGGTCGCACTCAGAGGCTTGCTGCGTGAAAGGGGTCACCAATGCAAAAGTTTGATAATGACTGCATTAAAGCAAAACTTGATGTAATCACATGACTCCAGAAGCTGGGGATTTAACAAAATACCCAATAGTAGGGAACTTGCAATAACAGAGTGAAATAGGGTGGTGATGCTGCACGCTGCCAGTCCTGCAAACCACCTCAATGAGGAGAGACGCTCACAGCTTTATAGATAAAACCTCCAGGTCTCGGGGCTAGGGGATAAAGATGGGGGAGGGGAATACAGGCAAACTGTGGCTAATCCCCACAATGTGACACCCAGGCAGCTCCCAACCTGGCAACCCCTTCTCCAGTCCCCTAGGTCACAGGAAGCCCAGTAAGGTAGCGAGAAGTGAACACAGCCGAACTGGAACTAGCCCCCCCGCCCCCGGGGAGAGCAGCTTCCACCCCCGCAGCCCCAGCTCCCAGGGAGTCCAGTGGGGAGGGAAGGGGAATCTCCTCTGTGCTGCTCCCTGGCCAGGTCGGTCAACTCGCTGCCTGCACGCTACTTACCGGCCTTCCCTGAACTCTTCCCTGTCCCCGCTCGGGCGCGCTGAGCAGCTCCTCAGGGCGCCCCGCCAGCGCCTCACACCACCTACTCCAACAGCGCTAGAACCGCCATCTTTGTTACTGGCAAATACACCTTTTTTTTTTCAAGGTCCCAGGCGTGCGACTTCAGGCACGTCTCAAGACGCCGTCGTCTGGTTGGTCAGATCCCGCCCGGGCTGCGGTAGGCCGCACTGTGATAGGCCCGATGCGGATAAAGCAAGACGATGTACATCCGCCCTTTCTTCAAGCTGGTCTGTGCTGAAGCTGTCCGGTGCTGGTAAAGCTTTGGGCTGCTGCCCATGGATTGCAACTGGAGCAGCTCGTTGAGCATCACGTAGGGGTTTGTGCGTGCTCTGGAGAACTGCAGGGCAGAGCCCCGGGCCCTAAAGGCTGCCACCTCCTGCGCTTATTGCAAGAGGCAGCATTGCGGCTGCCGCCAATGTGCAGGAGGCACTATAATGCCACAACACCGTGACAGGGCCAGGACAATATCCCATGGGGAGTGAACACCCCACAAACGGGTTCTTCAGAGCGGGGAGCGTGTCCTGCGCCTTGCACAGAGCTGAGCATATTGTCAACTCGTAGCAAGTTAAAGTAGCAAGCACCACTTTGTGGGTCATTCACACAAGGTCATCAAATCGTTGCATATGGAGGGTGACACCTACAGATGTATCTCTGCAACATCCTCATTGCTGAGTCTAGAGAGCAAAGGAGGTCCCTGCTAAGGGGACTGCAAAGGGAGATGAATCTAGAGGCGAAAGAATAAAGGTGGAGAGTGGGGCACAGAGAAGAAACGAGAAAGCACTGCAGGTTTAAAAAACAAGGGAAATCAAGCCAAGTCAGAAAAAAAAATCAAGTCCATCTAAATGGAAACCTAAAGAATGAGGATTTTTAAAAGGAAATGGAGGAAGTGAGGGACAGGGAGAGAGACAGTATATTTTATTTAGCTTTTGAATTTGTGATGGGTTGGCTGTTTTTAAAACAAACACATTCTCTCTCTCTCTCTCTCTCTTTTTAAATGTCCTCAGCCGCCATTATCCCCTCTTTTGATTCCACTTCATGTTTTTGAAAGGCTAATTGGGATGTTCTCAAGTCTGAAAATAAAATTGGAACAATCCTGCAAATATCAAAGCCAGGTTGATGTGGTGATTTATAGTATTATTTATTACAGTAGAATCCTGATTTACTGAACCTTCATAATTGAAGCCTTCTTTCTGAACTACAAATGTGTTGGCCATTAAGCAAGGAGTTTGAGACAGGAATATGGTAAATTATAAGCGGCCAAGCTTCAGTTCTGCGGAACACCTAACTTCTATAGTGTTTGGAGTTAAATACCTGCAGATCTTAAGAGTTCCACAGAAGTTTAACTTCAGCACACTTGAGTTTAGGCACCTGGCTGTAAATTGGAAGGCTGATGAATGAGGCCTGTAAACTCAAATTTTTCTGAACCCCTAGTTACCCAAACCAATTTGGTGGAGCCCAAGCAGTTAGGAAAACAATCGGGATTCTACTGTACTTACATGGCATCATAAATGCACGTAGTGCTTTAGATGCAAATAAAATTCAGATTTCTGAATATTTTACAATGTAGATTATACATAACATCAGGAAATGACAAGCAAAGGGAAGTGAAGAGGGTATAGGAGGACAAGAGCTGTAACAGTGTAAGATAATGAGATGTACTTAATGCTACATGTGCATCTTTTTAGTTCCTCTTTAGATTTTTTAAAATAAATTAAGTACATTTAAGTTGTAGATATTTTCTAAATAAAGGTCAGGTTGAAAGTAGATACTGAGCAGGGGACCAGAGTCAGGGCTTTGGGGTTCTAATCCTGCCTCAGAGACTGATTCACTGTGTGATCTTGGACAATTCACTAATAGGCCTTATCCCACAAACACTCCATATATGGAATTTCTATTGATGTCAACAGGAATTCTGCACTCAGAGGGGTTAATGGATTGGACTGTTCATGTCTCTGTGCCTCAGTTTCCCCATATATAAAATAAGTCTAATAATATCCAGCACTTGGGGTTGTTTGGAGACTGAACTGAATAATGTTTTTAAAGCATTTTGAGATTCTTGGATGAACGGCATTATGGAAATACAATATTATTATTATAAGGATGGTCTGAAGAGCAGGAACCCACAGGAATTAAACCCTCCTGTAATTTCTGAAGGATTAAGAAAGACATTCAAAGAAAGGGCACTTCATTCCTATCTATTCCTGAATTGGGATAGAGAAGGAAAACGGAATAGAAAATACCTAATCAAGAATCATTGTCAACTGAGATTAAAAGAAAATCATGCCAATTGTTTAGAGTACTTGAAAACCCACAGAACACAGACCTGTTCTGCAATGGGATACACTGATTTACTTGTGGCTTAGCTTTAAAACTATTTCCTGATTTTTATCTTTATTTTGTAAAAATACTATAATATTCTAGAATAGTGGTCTCAAATTTTATGGCTTATAATAGTGGTTTTAGATGATTGCTCTAGAACATTGCAATATTTATATAGGGGTATAGAACAGGATGGCTAAGCAAGTTACTGTAACTTTCCAAATTAGCTGCTAAAACTATTTACAAAATGCTTTTTCCTTTCTTTTTGTTATTGACTCACTTCATACAGGCCTGCAGCGCCATTGTGGTAGGGAAGATGTGCATGTAATAGGAATTAGTGGTAATTGTTTCATTATTGCAAGCCGATATGCACAGTCTGAAAATATTGTATTCATGCTCCTAGTGCCTTTGGTGTAGGGATACACTATCTCCTCTTGGGATGATAACATATGTGCTGATAGAGCTACAGCTCAATTTGCAGTAAGCTTCCGCCTTCTGAATGGTTTGCAATAGGCGACAGTTCCAAGGGAACTATTTGACCTCTCTGCATGTGCCTTTCAGTCAGCCCCAGTCAGAATGTGCTGCTGCTGGTAGTGCTGAAATGAGAATTTGAGTGGGAGCACTTTAAAGCAGGTACTGTATGCAAAATGTCCTTTCCTTTTCTCTTTTACTGTGTCTGGAGCTCTGTAGCAAGGCATTGAAGAGGTTTTTAATCAAATGTTTGATTGTGTAGCATGTATAAGCAATAAGGCAAAATAATTTAAAATAACTTAAAACTGGTAGAGGGGAATTCTTACATTCAAAAAATAATTAATTGCTCTGGCTAATTTTTTCTATATGTTTTATGTCAGATGTTAGAAAATGACAATATTTTGAAGTTTGTATGATGATGAGAGAAATTACATGAAAAAGTGATTGGAAAGGGGTTACTTAAAAAAAATATACAAGAGTTGACTAATACCATCTAAGGGTGATGGTGGGCAGCACTTGGAATATTAATTTCATCTGGGCAACACTGATTACAGGGTGTTGTGTTTTTTTCCCAATTATATTTAACTTAATGTATATTTATATAGAAGGTACATATACATATTACATGCTCCATATTAGATGTGTATTCTGCTTTTTCATGGCTTTACTACAAAACAGAATCTGCTTTGTTTTTCTCATGAAAGGAAATTGAACTGACTATTCCAAGCTGTACTGAAAGTGACAGACGATTAAACTGGGTAAAAGGAGGAAAGCAGAGGCCCTTTTGTACTAAAGAAAGGGAGATGGCACACTCTAGCTATACCCAATTCCCTTTTACAGGTTCTTCCAGAGTTATAAATAGCTCCTTTAGGGGCTAGCCAACTCTTGTTTCATTGTTTTGTTTCCTAAAGTCAGCAATGGCTAACTCTTATTGTGCATTCTGGGTCCTAGGTATAGCAATACTGGCCACAAGGTTCTAATTTTTACAGCAATCATGTCCTTTCTTCTCTTTGTGACCATAGAAACACACGTAGTAAGGCAGAGAATCTGCCTTTATTACATTCTTCCCAGCTCTCACGGCTTCATTGCAAGGCTCCTGATTTATTTATTTATTTATTTATTTTCTGATTTAGAGGCCTGTCTGAGTTTTGTTTTCTGGCCTGTTAAATTCAGAACAATCCCGTTTATTGCAGGTGATGTTTAAGCTGCTTTACAAGCACTCTTGACATCTGTAACTGTTACATTTGAGGAGCATAATCTTGGCAGATTGGCTGCTCTGTCTGGTTCACAAGTACCAACATTTGTTTACTACACTTGGATGGACCCATTAAAAAAACAGACTGTGGTAATGACTTAGATTTCCTAAGGGAGAGAGTAGTCTAATGGTTAGAACAATGAACTAGAAGTCAGGAATTTTGGATTCTATTGCCAGTTTGGACACTGACTTAGTGTAAGACATTGGGCAAGTCCCTTAACCTTTCTTTGCTTCAATTTCCCATTTGTAGAATAATAATACTTGCAGGGACAATATCAGGTTAAATCTCTCTCTCTCTCACACAGACACACACACACACACACTCTCTCTCTCCGCCCTTATATGTGTTACTACTAATTTAGATTATTAAAAACTGAAAGAATTTTAAACATCTCATTTGTAGGTCATCAATTGTGCAATCTGTTTATTACTTTGCTTTTCTCCGCATGGACAGTGGAAACAGACTAGTCACTTTCTTTTTTCTGTCTAGCAGTTTCCATTGTCTGGTTCTCTTGCATTAGCATAATCCTGCAATGCATAGGCTGCAGATACTGCAGGGGAATGTTTAAATCCAGACCCCAAAATCTGTTTGAATTTAATTTTTAAAAAATCATGGTAATATCTTTATTAATATTAGGTTTTGTAAAATGTTATTTGTACAAAAACTAAGCTTGGGGCCTAAATTACTCAATGGTGACCTTTCATTAATTATTGTTTTTTAAAATTCAGGGGGCTACAGAAGGGCAACATATTGGTGCTACATAACGCATGTGTTCTATTATAAAAACAGCATCCCCAAGTTTGCACATGGCCTCATCCTGAGAGACACGGAGAACATACAATTTACATAGATTTCAGTGGGAAATAGGGGTACTTAGTGACTCTCGGAACTAGGCTGAAAGTGTACGGGAAATACGCAGTATTTTCTATGGCGTGAGGGATATTTGATGAGACACCTGCAGCTCTGGACAATTTTTAAAAAGTAGATTCTCATTTAAGGACCAAATGAGCCATTAATAGAAGGGCTTCAGACTGGGACATGTAGGCTGTAAGA